GGTTTACAAAAGTTAAGGATAAGATATACTATGATTCTTTGGTTTATTTTTCAGTGTTTATGTATCTATAACATGATTTCAAAATTGGTTACAGCCATTCTGGTTGGACTCAGGCCACACATTGCACTGAGTAACCATCCACAATACTTAAACACTGTAGTTCTTATATTCATTGACTGACACGGAGAATCCTGAACACTACCTCAGCGATCTCATAATTATGAAGGTGCTTACTCATTGTTTTTAAGACTTTGTTTTGGCACAGTAAGGGCATTAGTGAAAGTATATTCTCTTAAATAAAATTCTAAATTAGAAGCAATGGCAATTTTATAAAAACAGTCATTTGTAAAAACTTCTGGAGTGTTAAATCTAGCCTGAACTTACTTTAGTGTGATAAAGTAAGTTTTTGAAATGATAATTTATTTTGAGTTCCTCAGACAATAGAAACTAATTTTCTCAATGGACTAGATTGAGGCAGTAGGTTCTGTATAAAAATTTTCATCATGAATACAGACATCACCTGTCTTCTAGGAGAAATATTAAAAGATAATTTAATGACTATGCCAAACTTACTAGGTCTGTATTTTTGCTTTACAGAAAATGCCCTAAAATTTAAATGTAATTCCCATATAGCAATAAAGTCCACATCTCTAGATTATCTATTACTTGCATTATGGGTGCCAAGAAACCATTTACACTGTCTAAAATATTAACCCTTATTATGCCTTAAAAGTGCATTTGTGAAATGTTGGTTTTGATGTAAACCTCATATTTTAAAATTTAAATGTTAAATTAAGTAGGTTACCATTTTCAACACCAACTAAATACAATATATTGATCCAATATAGAAAGTTAGATCAATGTTAGAAATTAAGATTCACAGTTTACCTTCCCAGGCTTATCATTAGCATTTCACATTTATGCTTTTAGCTTTGATCTGAATGCTTCACAGATGAATTCAAATCTTAACATAATTCCACTACAGCATAATATTAATTAGGAAGCCTTCCCAAGTCTGAGAACATCATGCTAATCTAGCTGTGATGTTTTAAGGCTTCATAGCTTAAATCCATTATAACATTGTGGAAGCCATAGAGCAGGGTCGTGGAGAAAGGCTTCAGAGAAGAGTTTTTTGTTCCTGTAATAATCCTATTTAAATAAACCCCAACTTATCAGAAGTCTGCCTAAATATTGCTAACAAAATTGAACTGTCCATATCTTAACATTCATAATCATATGTAGATGTGTTAAATGTTAAAATTTAGTTTTGAGTAGGAAAAGACACATCATCATTGTGAGTTAACTTGAGATGGCAAGAATGTATATCACATATGCAGCAACCAAGTTCACATTTTTATGCATATAACTACTTTCTAGTATAGTAGTCCAACTTCTACAGTAATGACATGTAACTATAGTGTTGACACCCCCTGGCAGTTTCCAGACACCCAATGTAGGTATCATCTACCATATGTTACTTTTTCTTTAAATACATATTCATTTTGTTTGTAAGCTAACAGTCTCAAATTAGTTCATATACGGTTCAAACTTTTGGTCCTTTTGTCTTACTTTGGCTTGTGTAGCTTTAAATGAGCCAGAGCTTGGGCCTACATACAATAAGATGATAGACAATGAAAAAAAAAAAAAAAAAAAAAAAAAAAACCACTCGTGCTACTTTTAAAATTCAGGCTATTAAGGAGGATGTGTTTTCTAAGCTGGAAATTTAATGAAATGGCTAACACATCAGAGGTTGCATAATTCCTTACTCTTAAATTGTTATACCTTGTATGTAATAAACTTCAAATATTAGCTTACTAGATCAGTGAAGTCATTTTCCTCTTTGCTATTCTAACTCCATTTTGTTTATTTTGAAACATTACAATTAATATTTTAATTCTTCAATTGTAGCAGAAAATTATAGCATTAGAAAATTTTCTCTATCTGGAGAATAACAGTGAACAAATTTGCCAATTAGGGAACCATTTCAGGAATTGTTGGGAGGTGACTTATTCTGTAGTAACTATGCTTCAGTTGCCGTGCAGTACGCCCAGAAACAATCCATTTCAACTTCTGAACATTTGGTTTGGAACACTTGTTTGATGAATATTCAGTTAAACACTTGGATACGAGCTCTTGCCAGAAGGTCAAATCTCTGCCATTTATCTGTACATAAATGTTTAAGAATTATTGCTCAATTAAAACAAAGGTCCCAAAAAAGACAAAAATAAAGAACAAAAGAAAAAAAAAGTCCTACCATATTTAACTATAGTAATAAAAGCAAATC